TTAAGGCGATGAATAAAGCGTCATTTCAAGAAGTACTTTACATGAAAACACCCCTCTTTCGCCTCGCACAAAGTCGACGGTTTCGTGCAGCGATTTCAGCGTATTCCACATATGCAGAATGTGGTTCATTTTTCTACGGCTTGTTTTGGACGTGAAGGGGAATTACATCGAGGACGCGCAACACCTCCAAAGTCGTGTAGAATGGAAGGGGTCCGTGCCATAATGCCCAATGTGCAGAATGTCCACGGGACAGAATGACTTAAACACAGGATATCCAATGTGCGCATTGTCCAAGGTACAGAATGTCGAATGACCAGATCATTTAAAATAGCTTTCAGAGTGGTCGTCAGGATATGAATAGCGGCACCCGGCATCCGGTGTTAAGGGTATCTGTTATAGAACAGGCTAGTTGCCCGATGGGGTGAAAAAAGTTATTGATACTTGTACTTTCACCCTTCTTGCAACTTTTGCTCCGTTGGATATTATGAGCTAATTGTAGTGAAAACATAGCAGATGTCTTTTAAAATAAATACAACTTGCATCTAGAGGTTGGCAGGGGTTTTCCACACCATCTTTTCAACCGTTGTCCAGCTCTCCACACTTAACCCCCCCCCCCATACAAACTGCCCCACACATAGTCATCAAACTTGCGGGTACCTTCCAAGTGGCGGATCTGAAATTTCGTCAAGGGAGGGGCCCTACTTCATTGTAGTGCCCACTGGAAACTGGTGCCTCTCCTTCCCCCCTCCCCCCTCCCGTCGCAAAAATGTGCCCGGATTTCGGCTTTTTTATTTTCAGATTCTTTTTATCAGGCAGCTATCTTCCTCGGCACATTGTGGAGGGCTGGGCATAGTACGTAGATGCGTACATGGCGTGTGCTCATTTTTTCCAGAGGCTGGTGTGTCCCACCATTCTGGGCTAAGTATTTCGGAGAAGATGTGGCGAAACAAGTTTAAGTAATTCTTAATGCGATCCAAGTCAGGCACGACAACGCAACTCATTTATCGTTAATTCTGTGCAACAAAATCAGCAAAAAGTGGGTTGCAGTTTGTAGGTCAATGATATTGCAATAAATGAATAGGCGAAATGCAATAGCTTGTACACAAACTTTGAATTGTCATGGCCTTGAATGAAGTGAATCAAATAAGTCGTGGACACTATTCGTGTCACAATAGTTCACTCAGCCCTTTGACTGAAACCGCAACAGACAGAGGCTTTGCTAGAGTTTTTTTTTCTAGATTTTACAAGGGTATTGAGAGACCCATGGATTGGACGCCAGCGTCAATCGAAGCGCGATAAAGAATTTGTTCTGATGTGTCCAAGCGCTTTTCATCAGTCTTCGGGAATTTGTCTTTTTTAGAATCCAAAAGCGAAAGTATAAATACGCTAATTTCAAACACATGCGCTTCCAGTCAAGAAGAAAGAACACCGACAGCTGCGCTGCAGTTTCCACAGGCCGCGCGGGGTCGGTCTTGCACCTAACACCTGATGGTGGTCAACGGGCGGGCGAAAACAATCACGTATTGGAAAGTGGAGCTTTCGAGCGTTTTTTGGAACCAATTTGTACGCATTTGGAAGGAAGCCTGTATCCACCGAGAGCTGGAAGACCTCTTTGGAGAGCGCGTCATCAGCTGAAAGCCGGACAACTTGGGTCCAGGTTACTCTCTGGGTCCGACCACCCTTAATGCTTATCTATGGAGGTCCTAAAATAGCGAGTCAAGAGAAAAAAAAACCCTCAAAGCATCGGTAACTTAAAGAGGTCATTGGCAACGTGAAAAGCCATGATGTCATCGGCATGATAAGAACAGCTGTCACATCAAGGGCTCTGTTACTGGATCCCGGTTTTTTTGGGCTCAGTGTCCCATTCTGATGCCTCGAACATCGAAATTTTGTTTTATAAGTCACACGGACGTTTTATGCTGCCAAACATTACTGGGGCATTCGATCCTAGGGTGGTCCTTACTGCCTCCAGAGAATCCCCCCCCCCCGCCCCTTTGGCTACGCCACTAAGGCCGTCATGCGCACATAATGTTCGACATACCTTTTTGCACCTGGTTGTCTTCGTACACTGACAAAAAATCACACGATGAAGACTTAAGTTACGATCAAAGGGGGAGCAGATCAACCAAATTAACAGGAATATCCAAATTTGACAATGAATTTAAAAAATTGGCATTGCAAGCATATTATTGCCTGACAGACCAAGCAGTCATCTCCAAAACCACCCACCCTACGTATAGAAAAAGGAGCTTTCTCACGAATCGCCATGCAGCTGTAGACAATGCGGCCGATACAACGAGCACGCTGGCATTATCTACGATATACACCAGATGAAGGCATGAGATCCCCCTGTCCGCAATGCATCCTCACATTTTCATTCGCTCGGATCCATTTCTCTCTTACACCCCGACGGGGAAACCAAATAGCCGTTGTATACTAATTTTGCAGCATATAATTTAGAATGTGGAGGGTGCAAAGGGCTGCCTTTGAGAACTAAATTCCAAAAAAGATGTCATTTTAGAAAAGTATATTTGAACTTCGTTCAGTCTGAATGTAATTGAGCTTTTCCACTATGCGCACGCAATCTGCACTTCCACAGAAACGCCTTCGCACCGACGCCGGCAAGGCACGAGCACGTAAGTCTGTGATACAAACCACCCTCTCATTCTTATGAATCGATCAAGTTGAGCAACACATCAAAAACAGTTGGCATTTTTCGTGTGCGAGTGCTACTGCCCAGCGGGGCCTCCTCGGCTCGCTCGGCCGCGACACCACTTCCCTCTCCCCCGGCCGGTCAACACTCAACATACAACGGCAGCGGCTAGTCTGCTCCACCGTCTCTGTTGAGGTCGTGGTTGCTCATTGCATGCCGAGGCATTTCTAGCACGTTACGGTACACCGTCCACCTTAACAACTTCGCGCGTCACCAGGCCAGTCACCGTCCCGTGGCGCGACAATTCAGTGCACGAGCTCTGCAACACACCTTCCACACTGTCCCCGACCGAATCGCAACCCGTCGGACGCGAGAGACGGTCCCCGCACACCAGCTACCGGATCGATCATCCGGGCCGGACGCGTCCTCGCCAGCCACCAGCAGCCGGCAGCATCTCTTCCCCGCACAGGTTTCCACGGCCGGGTAATTGAACGTTCGAAACACTCAGCAAACGCACCACGCCACCACGTTGACGCGAACCGCACTCCTGCCAAATCGAAGGCACGCCGCCGGCAACGCACGAGCACCGCGTGCACGTGCAGGTGCAGTTTCTGACACACATGAACGTCAAGGAGCATCCGAGACAACCTTTTCTACGTCAAAGTTAATCAAATTGCGTGCAAAATCCAACAATGTGTCATTTCGTATCATATTACACGCCATTTTGAGTGGCATGGTCTAGTTGCCCTCCCCTCCCTGCAGCCGCCCCTGGGGAGGACTTCAAACTGTTCAAAAACTAAAAGAAATTTAACGGATCATTTATACGCGATCTCTGGCATTTCACCCAACGCGGGTATCAGTGGAAAAGTAAAACATACGGCGCGGGAACACAATATCTATTCGTCTCAAAAATGTTTGATATAAATTCGTAAAATAAAATGAGGGCAACGAGAAATAGACTTCACAAAACCTTACACTCACATTGGCCTTTGCAAACGTGGCCAAAACCGATGGAAGGGGCGACGGGAAATGCGAACCAGCGATGCATGGAACCGGCCCCAGATTGCTTCATTGCAAAGTGAGCTTCAGTAATTGCAAGCTCATTTCCCTCCTAACTCCGGTTTGCCCCGGCGTTGGAAGTAAATCCGTTGCTACGCGGCCCGCCGACCACGTGCGCGCCGTGTTCACACTGGCGTCGACTGTACGCGCGCTGCCGGCGCGGGAAGGACGCCGCTGCCTGTCAGTAAGGACGATGAGCCACACGCTGGCGGGTACTCAATAAACTATTTCGGACATTTTACTTTGGACATTCTGTAACTTGGACAATACGTGCATTGGACATTCAGTACTTGGGACATTCTGTACACTGGGCATTCTGAACTTCAAACATTGTGCACTTTGCACATTACGAACACCTCCACACTGAGCCATTTCGGAAGCTATTCCTCGTTTTGGACATTTTCTACGTTGGACATCATAGGCTTTAGACAGTCTGTGCATTGGACATTCTGTACTTTGAACATGCTGCACGTTTGGGCATTCTGTACCTTGGACAAAATAAATGCCTCCCGGTCACATTTCCTGATTTTGTCTTCCTGAACTTCCTTCTTCCTGAACTCCAGCTTGGGTTCAGGCCTGCCCCTCGCCCTCCCCTCCTCCCTCAACTTTGATAAGAAAGTAGGCCAAATTCGGGGATAAGCCAGTTGGCTGGTATAATTTGGGGATAGGTTTCGTCATTTAACTATTGAGCCCCGCCCTCTCGCAATTCGTTTTTTTTCTTCAAAACTACGCCTGTGATCTCCCTTATGGTTGGAGGGTAACCGGTGGGTATTTAAACTACTATTGAGGCTGTTGAAATAACCAGCGCACGCGGCATGCTTGACCGTTTCCGAGCAGACTTCAGAACACCTGCATTCATATCACACCTCCGCTCAGTCTCAGTAGCGAATCCAGCAGGGTCCACCCAGAACTGCGCAGCTAGAACACCACCTGAAAGGATACATAAAGTCTTCCCACGAAATCAGTTGCCAGCGATCAAAACCGGTATTTGCTGGGAGCTGACGGGCGGCGGTCAGGCTGGCCATTTCCTAGAATTACAGCCGGTTTCAGAGCAGGCAAGGCATAAGCCAGGGCAGTCAGCGGGCTACGTTCGGAATCGGTCTGCGCTCAATGTTCTCGACCATGTATTACCCGGCGCCTGAGCCGCCTCTGCCCAGCGCTCTGCAGCCTGCCTGTTCAGCGCCTGAGCCCTCCCCTGTCCGACCCTTGCACCGCCCCTGTCAGGTATCGGCTTGTTCGTACTGCTGTCAGCCGTTTTGTGTAAGCGGCCGGCCCTGTCCGCCCCCAGTTGGTGGCGGACACGAACCCTCGGCACACCTCCGGCACAGTCAGTCTCCCGCAGCGATCAAGTGACAGTGAATCCAGTGACATCGCGAAGATGCTGGTCAAGCTAGTGCTGCTGGTGTCGGCGGTCCTGCTGACGCTGCAGTCGGCGACTGCCTTTATCCCCTGCAGAGGCGACGCCGACTGCGGTTCCGGAGGCCGCTGCGACACGACGCAGAAGTGCTGCACCACCGAGGGCTGCCTGACGCCGTGCAGTTGGGGCAAGTGGTGCTTCACGGAATTGCCCAGACCCTGCGCGGCGCCTCCCCCAACACCTCCGCCCTGCTACTGTCCCACCACGAAAGCCTGCAATCACGAGCCTTGGGGGTGATGGACGGAAGATGGAGGGCGGTTACAAGACGATGGCCGATGACCGATGCGTATGCTCGGTGTCGCGACGCGTAGTTGTCCGTGGAGGTACATTGTAAAGTATGCCTCTTACGACTGGTCGAAGCTGAGTTGTTCAGGTTGAGCTCGATATGCATGATAAAGGATGTAGAGCGACGTGCAACTTTCGAGGAACGACAATCTTTTCTATGAGTTTTGATTATTGGATTGTCCTAATTGTGTGGATGAGTGCATGACTTGCAATACAACACCGCAAAGAAAAAGTCTCAAGAAATATCAATCAGTAAGACGTCTTTGGCTGCGTAAGAAAAGGCGCAACGGACGTGAGGTTACATTTATGCGGAAAGATTAAGGCGATGCATAAGTGTCATGGATTGAACGATTGTTCGGACTACCGTCCTCTTCCGCAATCCTATACATTCATTGCTTCTAAGTCGCAGTGGGCAGCAATGCAGACATCAAAGAGGCGTGTGTGCCATGCTCCGCAGTGGTTACATCCAATGTCAATTTTCAGACATAGATCAGCATTTTACATCTATTGCAAATGTTACAGATCCTCTAGAGAAGGGTCACAATTATAGCTAGTGAGTGGAATCACTTCCTAGAAAATATTGCTTCTCGAACAGCTGCACTTATTTTATATCTTGTGTACCTTCACAAATAATACCTGCGCAACGATCTGTGCGCAACCAACCATCATCATTGAAGACCGGCTGTCGACATTCCCAACAACACGCCGTACCCCTGACCATTTCCAGGCTTCAGGACGTCATCCTTCAGTCTCAGTGGCGTACCCAGCAGGGTCGTGCTTGAACTGAACAGCTACAACATCATCCAACCGAATATCGAGCCTTGCTAAGAGGTCGCCAGTGAGTATTGTTGTGGTCTTATTTAGTAACCAGGTCCTTATGTTTGGCAGTGTTTTAGGTAGCATCCGGGAACTTTGGCGATTGTTTTGATTTAGTTTGTCTCGTGTGCGCAAGTTTCATTTAACTGAGTTTTTCTAAGAGTTAAGGCTAAATTTGGCAAGCGGAGGCGGGCGGCTTGCATAGCAGCGCGTGCGCGGCCGTGTCCCCGGGTCAGTAGCGCAGGCAGGGGGAGGGGTGCAGGGGGCACGTGCCGTCCTTAGGCTCCGAGGGGCCCTTCGGGTCCCTCGGGAACCTAGGGTTTAAGGGCCCGATTTGAGTGTCTGAAGGGCCCGAAAAGCCAGCCAGAGGTCTCATTCAAGGTCCCCGGCCGGCAGCGCCGGACACTCCAAAGCCGCCCAAAGGGCCCCTGCGCGATGATCAGGAGCCCACTGAGTCAATAAGGGCCTATATTTTGGTCAGATGCCACCAGTAACGTACAGTCGGTTCCGTGGCGATGTGGGCCTAAGGGCCCATTTCCCAAGCAGGGACAAAGCCGGAGCCAGCGATTTACATTGTTCTGGACCCCACAGCGCCAAACAGGGGCCTTGTGTTGTCAACAGGCTCTGAAGTTGACCAGAGGCAGTGTTCCAGTAGGCCCGAAGAGCCTAGAGGGCCCAGCTGGTCCGACGATGAAAGGCCTGATTGAAGGGTTTAAGGACATAAAGGGCTGGTCGTGGTTGTATTCAAGGCCACAGACCTGTGAAGGCAGACACTCAAATAACTTTTCCGCCGATCGGAGACCCCCTGAGTCGATATGGGCGTGTATGTCGATCAGGTACCACCGTACCACATAGCTTCGTGACGGTATGGGCCTGAAGACCAACTTCCCAATCAGGTATAAAGCCTTGGCCAGTGATTTGCACCGGTCGGGGGCATTTTATTTGTCAGGGGCCCATAGCATTTAGCATAGAGGGCCCTGTTCTCCCAATGGCCCCGAGCCGACCAAGGAAAGTCTTGATGAGGCTCGAAGTCGGTTCTGGACGCCCTGTGAGGCCATCGAAACAGACTATTAAAAGCCCAGCTGGAGGGCATAAGGGCCCAAGGGACTGGCTGTAGGTCACACAAAGAATCGCGGCCCGTAGGGTCGCGACCTGAAATACAAGTCAGAGGTCTTCTTGCGCCGTTTTAGGAACCCCGAGACAATGTGGGTGTCTAAGTCGGTCAGAGACCACGAACACCGAACAGTTGGTTCCACGCCGGTCTGTGCCCTTGAGACCCATTTCCTAAGCAGAAACGTGTCCGGGACCCGCGATTTGGAATGTTTGGCGTCCCTGACGCAATGAGGGGCTCCTGTATCTGTTAGGGGCCACAGTGCCGAGCAGGAGTCCTGTAGCGTCAAGTGGCCCGAGTCGGAGCGGCGTTTGATATGGCCCGCAGAGGGGCCGAAGGGTATCTCGAGACCAAAGATCAAGGAACCGATGGAATGGCTGAAGGGTCCAAAGGGTCCCAAAGTAGCTGTAGGTCCCATTAAGGACCTCCGTCCATAGGGATGTGATCTCAAATGTCAGTAGGATGATCTCTTGCACCGATAGGGGCCTCTGAGGCAGAGCGTTCCTCTATTTCAGCCAGAGATCACGAACAAAGAACAATCAGCTCGTCTTTGGTGTGGGCTCTGGGGACCTATATCCCAAGCAGAGACAAGGCCAGTCCCACGATTTACATTGGTCGGGCTCCTGTATCGTTCAGGAGCTCACAGTGCCTAGCGGGACTCTGTGTCAACAAGGGACATCGAACTGGTCAGGGAAAGATTTGTTCAGCAGGGACGGGGACGGGAGCCTGAATGGCAGAGGGTCTTGTACATTGGTCGGGGCCCTCTGGCAATTGAAGGAAACGAGAGCTCATAATGAGTGTTCACATTGAAGTAATAGAAGAATCCTGAACCAGCCAAGGCCCCCAGCACCGAACGGTGGGCTCTACAATCCTTTTCCCGCGTGGGCCCGTTGAGACCAACTTGAGTCTATGTGCCAAGTATTTGGCCACCTGCGGTGAGCAAGGATGTTGTTGCGCTAATGACGGTCTATGCGTCGGTCCGGTGTCGACTGCGAGGGTCAGATGGCCTCCCGCGTCAGGGAGCTGACCAATGTGATATGATATATCCCTCTAAGAGCCTCCGGATCGGCCAGGGAATGCCGCTCGCGTTGCCGGAATGACGGCCGGAGAACACACAGCGGTCCTTCAGCTTTTGACCGGGAGCAACAATGTGCCCCATACCGTTATACTCAGGGGCCCTTTACCGGAACGGAGTGTATAGAAATGACTTCAAAACGTACAAGGTCATCCCATCTATTCCCGCGGTGCCCACCTTTCCCGCCAGGGTGAGAGGCTGGCGGCGCCATCTAGCCCCAGGAGCTGAGTGCGTCATAAATCCCCAATGACACGGCCGTAATCTCGGGGAGGATGGATACCGATGGCTTGCGTCGTAGTTTTAGTACAACCGAACGGTGTTGGCCACCGCAAGTAACGCGAAGGGGCGGGCGCCGAGCGTGCAACAATGACCATAGTAAAATCATGTTTCTGCATGTCTTTTAAAATTTCTTCAGCGGCACGACCAACAGAAATGTTACCTTTCCGCTTCCCATTAAACAATCAGACTCCAGCACCATTTTGCGCTGCTGTAAAGACCAATACGTTATTGTCATCAATCTAAAAACCGCACAGGTGGAATGCACGCCCGGAATATCTCTAAATGTACGATTTGGTATCCAAATACGTTGAAAGATCCTTATCTTAAACACATCACCACTTTCGTCCACCTGTTGGCCACGGTCTAATATAAGCCTTGGGCTGATGCTGCGCGGCCTAAGGAGAATGCAACGCCTGGCGGCGAGTTTTTTGTTTGTTTCTAAGATATGCGAGCATGTATGCTCAAAACTATGTCATGACTTGTACCACTAACCAATTTTGACTGAATGTGGAAGATATCCAGACAAGCATGACCTGGCTATGTTAATGCAAATTTTTGATCGGTTTCGATCGTCAGTCTTCATTCGCGGAATCCTTGCTATTTCTATACAATCCAGATACAAATTCTGGCCACGTTTGGCAGTTCTGTCGGTTTAAACAGAGTCCACTGGACCATGGGCGTAGGAACAGGGGGGGGGGGCCAGGGGGGCCATGCCCCCCCCCCCACTTTTCAAGGTGAGGCGCCAGCAATGTTAACTGCCCCCCCCCCCACCCCACCCACACCCACACCTTTCAGATTAATGTTGCATTTGGCTTTCCTTTGCACAGCACTAAACATGCATGCCGATTTACCTAGTTCACCAGCCATCTCCCCTGAGGTGTGTCATCTTTTTCGTTTGCTCATTGGCCATCACTTAGTGTTACAGCCGCAAGGCCGACGCCGCACGGCCTGGAGACTGCAACGCCGGGCGTCGAGGCTGTTTTTGCAATGACTTGCGAGCACGCATGTTCAGCACCATATTACGTAGTTTTCTCATCAGTAATCAGCTCTGACAGGATCTTGAGATTTATAAGACGAACATGAGCTAGCCATGTTAATACAAATTATGAACCCCATTTCATCTCCAATCTACAGTCATGGAGAACTCAATATCTCTAGAGAGCACAGAAAAACATGGAACTGGAGTCTATGTGAAAACTATCGGACTGCCTGCAGTGATCAGGGATGGTGTCGTCAATGAGGGTCCCTGTGCTGATCCGGGGCTAACTGCACGGATCAGAAGGCCTCCCGTGTCAGGGATGGGAACAATTTGACTATATATATATATGTATCTTTCTAGTGACCTCCGGATCGACCAGGAGATCCTGCCCCGTGCCACCAGAATGATAGCCAGAAGGCACTTCGCGATGGGACGGAATGGGTCCTCACCCCTTGACCGGAAACGGTAATGTACCCCTGGTGTTCTACTCAAGATGCTCCTTTCGCGGAAAGGAATAAGGGGTGTCATTATTGTTGAGCAGAATGGGGCTCTCATTATTGTTGAAAAGCACGGGTCGAAATGAATTTAAAAACGGGCAAAGTCGTGCCATGTTTGCCTGAGCACGTTCATTCCTTTCAGAATGTATTATTGAAACAAGTTACATCAAAATGCTCGAATATGTCCGTCCGCAACCTCGAGAGCAAGGACAAGGATGGTCTGGGTTGCAACTTCCGTAAAACCGATAAGTTTCGGCCACTGCAAGTGCGACCAGACGGCGGGCGCCGTGTTAATCTGTCTTCTGGACAGATAAATAGCTGCGGAAACACGAAAACTAGAGATTTTACCTTCACTCTTCTAATTCAACCAACAGATTCCAGCCCCACTTCGCGGTGCTTTAGGGGCCAATCCGTTCTTTTCATCAATCTAAAAATTGCACGCATGAAAGATGCCCTCAGACGGCCTTTTAAATACA